CTCTCCCTTCAGGTGACGAAGCGAGTCTGCAATCTTCCTTCCTTTAATTGGATCATTTCCAGGCTCGTCTCATCCTTCCCGTTTTTACAACTTCACACGATCCTTTTGCTGCCGTGCACAGGGCAAAGGGTTTCAGGGCTGGAGTCATTTTGTGGCGCGCATTTTCTCTAGAACCTTCCACGTATCTGCACACGCTGGCGCGGGGCCGCCCTTTATGGACGCGGGTGTTCCAGACAGACTGGCACCTTTTTCTGCTTGCAGGCTGGCTTTTCCTTCTTCCTGGGTTGACCTGCCTGTGTCCTTCACACATCATTTTTAGCTCAGAGGTTTTGTTCTGTCGCCTCGGGAGCCGGGTGGCACTTCTGGTGACGGGATCGCCTAATATTGTAAACACAGCCACTGTTTATCAAGCACGGAGCAAGCGCTGTGTCTGCAGCCTTAGGTATGTCATACAAACCACACCCAGCCTTCCCCCCTGCCCTTCACAACACATCGCTGTCCCCTACCAACCTGTCACTTCCAGGCCTAGCACAGTGCCTGGCCCGTAGCAGGTGCTCAAGAACAAGGGCCGTTATGGTTATGAAAACAAGCACAGGGCTTATTCCTGCCTGGCCCCTGGCGCCTGGCACAGGCTCTGGCACATCAGTGGTTGAGCGTCGACCTGTGAACCAGTTCGATTTCCAATCAGGGCACAGGCCCGGGTTGCAGGTTCGATCCCCGGTTGGGGTGTGTGCGATGTTTCTCTCTCCTCTCTCTCTGAAAATCAATTTTTAAAACTAAAAAAAAATTTTTTAAACCAACCAAATGCACTATTAATATAATATTAACAATAATGAAACCCTCCTATTCTCTGGTTTTTCAATAAGATCGCATTTCTTGACTTTCACTTATTTATACACCGAACTGTCTTGGATTGCCCTGTGGTCCGCTATGGTTCTTTGGATGTAACATCCCTGTTTTGGGGGTTCGTAGTAAAGCGATATCCTGGCTCAGCTCCCCGTCTGAGGACTTTCTTCTACAACACTCCCACCAAGTGGCCACTCGGACGGCACTCGGACGCCCAGATTGAGAGCTCACCGCCTGCAGAGGCAGCGCGATTCCATCTTTCGATCGCTTGTTGGAAATCACTGCGTTGGGCTGAAATATGCCTGACTTCTGTCCACTGACTCCAGCTCCCCTCCTTACGGCCCCATGGGACACACATAAACCCCTTATGCACGAGCCCTTCCCATATCCGATTGCACAGGGACCGCCTCTGTCCTAGTGGCTGGAATACGGCTCTAGGAGGCCTTTAAAGGGCTGACTGCGTGCAGGGAGCGGGTGGTGTATCGGCAGGCAGGCCGCCCAGCACAGAGGAGCCGCTCTGAGGAGTGCCGTCTGCTGGGAGGCCCCTGTGCAGAAATGGCTGCTGGGCTCCGCTTTTTAAGAATCTTCTTAGATTTTGTTTTTAAATAAGAGAACATTTATTTGGTAAACCTAGGAAACAAGTTATAGACAGCTCTCTTAGGGCTTGGGAAGGAGGAAGGTGATGGCAATGTGCTTGGGGGGCAGGGGAGGGGCCAGAGGAAGGAAAAGGAGTGGGCAGCTCCAGGGAGGACAGGCTCCCGAGAGGGAGGGACAGGATCCCGGGAGGGAGGACAGGCTGGAAAGAGGGAGGGACAGGCCTCCGGGAGGGAGGACAGGCTGGA